GAATACGTGCTTTTAAATACAGCGCAACAAACTCTTTCATCTTCAATGTAGGACTCAAACCCACTTCTTTCTCTCTCTACGAAGGCATTTTAAGAAAGTACAGTAAAACCAAAGATGTTATTTTAAAATACTCTTAAGAATTTTTCAAGCAAAAAATACTAACAATTTTCTCCGCTATTTCAAAATAACAAAACAAAATATAGGAAACACATTATTTGTATACCATGAAAATATCTTTTGATTTTAACTTTTACTTAGAGTGTACACTACAAAGTCCATCAAGTACCGTGGTAGCGTATAACTTTGAATCAGGTTGCTTATCTATGAGACCGATAGTATAATTCACAAACAATATTCAAATCTAGTGCCTTTTTAACTGCCAGCACGTTTTGGGCCTAGTGCTTATATTCCAATTTCATAAGTTCTCTAGAGACGAGTCCATCTCATAGGAAGCAGTGTTACTTCCACATTTATATATGTGTGTCTATTAAGAGTGATCTTGTATATAAAACACTTCGACTTATGTATATTAGACTATAGACAACATTAAGAGCTTAGCTCATCCTATTAACATACATGTCATCACTCGATTTATCCACCGAATGGATTTTCTATGAATGAGTGTTTTTCATATTTTGTCATCTAGTGACCAAACTAACAATACATACAGTTTGTTTTTACCACGTTGAACTTAGAATTTTGAGATTACAAATGACTAAGTTAGTTTCCCACTTACTCAATGGACTCTAGCCCCATTTGTTTTGACATCTTACTAATGTCATCATTTACAAGGCCTTTAGTCAAAGGATTAGCCAAATTTTCCTTTGATCTTACATATTCTACACTAATCACTCCATTCTCAATTAACATTTTAATAGAGTCATGCCTTCTCGCAATATATGTAGATTTTCCACTATATATATAATTACAAGCTCTTACAATAATAGCTTGATTACCACAATATATTGTTGTTACATGTATTGGTTTTGGCCATATGGGAATGTTACATACCAAATTCTTTAGCCATTCGACTTCTTTGCCGACAGAGTCTAAAGCAATAATTTCAAACTCCATAACAGAGCGTGAAATACACGTTTGTTTATTTGACGTTTATGATATCGCATCACCCACTAATGTAAATATTCTATTTAGATGTTAATAGTGAATCTTGAATTTCATTATTCTAATTAGCATCACTATACCCTTCCAACACTTCGAGATAAACCACATATTTTATGTCATAATTGGTAGTTCTTTTCAAGTATCTTAATACTCGAGATATAACATATCAGTACACTTTACTTGGATAACTTGTATATCTATTAAGTTTGTCAACCGCGTATGTAATGTCAGGCCAAACTACCAATTACCCTAGCATATTCAAGTTGAGATATACATCTCCTATTATTTTTCTTTAACTTAACATGAGGATTTATAGGGGTAGAGACTGACTTACGATCAATATACTCAAATTTATTAAGCATTTTCTCAATGTTGTAAGATTGAGTCAAGATTAATATTTTTTCTTTTCTCAATATTTTGATACCAAGTATCACATCTGCCTCTCCTAAGTCATTCATATCAAAGTTAGATGTGAGGAACTTTTTAGTTTCCTCCACAATTTCTAAATTAGAGCTAAAGATAAGTACGTCATTTACATATGAACAAATTATGACACATAAAGAATTCATTTTCTCATTTATCAGTCTCATTTCTTTTAAAACCATTTAACATCAACACAATGTCAAAATTTTGATGCCATTGTTTAGGTGCTTGTTTTAGTCCATAAAGATATTTAACTAGTTTATAAATTTTATTCTCATGACCTGACATTACAAACCCTTCGGGTTGTTCCATATATATTTCTACATCTAAGTGTCCACTTAAGAAAACAATTTTTACATCCATTTGATAAATACTAGATGATTAGTAAAGGCTATTGCTCAGAGCAATCTAATAGTAGCAATTCTTGCCATAGGTGCATATGTGTCAAAATAATCAATGTTTTTTTTTGTTGAAAACCTTTAGCAGCTATTCTTGCTTTATATTTATTAATAGAACTATAAGAATTCATACTTTTTAAAAAATCCATTTACAACCAATGGGTTTAGAAGTTGGTGGAAGATCTACTAATTTTCAAGTTTTACTAGCTATTATGGAATCCATTTCATTATTTATAGCTTTCCTCCAAAAAATTACATCTATTATGGAATCCATTTCATTATTTATAGCTTTCCTCCAAAAAATTACATCTTGAGATGACAAAGCTTCATCTAGAGATGTGGAATCTTCCTCCACATTTGAGACTATAGGTAAGGAATTCAAAATTTTATTTTGATTAGCCTCAACAAGATAAATATAAAAAATAGTTCCAAAGTTATAAGATGGATCACTTCTAATTCTTTTACTTCTTCTTGGTTCTATTATTTCATCATTATTATTTTCTACCTGTTCTTCATCAACATATTTCATCATTTTCATGATTTTCATTTTGCATGCTACTTGATTCATTCACTTCACTTTTACAAGTGAGATTTTCAAAAAATCCAACGTCTCTAGATTCTAAAATTGTATTAGAATTTAGATAAAAAAATCTATAAGCTTTACTATTATGAAAATATCTCACAAAAACAAATTTAGATGTTCTAGGACCCAATTTATTTTTTTTAGGATATGGAAGTCTAACAAGTGCAATACAACCCTACACTTTGAAAATATTCAAAGAAGGTTTTTTTATCAAAGCAAAGCTCATAAGTGGTCTTATCATTCTCTTTATATGGAATTCTATTCAAAATAAAACATGCACTTAAAAAAGCTTCACCCTACAAATTCAATGGCAATGAAGAAGAAATAAACATTGCATTTACCATTTCAATTTAAGTTGTACATTTTGTTGAGGGGTATATGGAACAGTTACTTGATGAATAATACCATTATTTTTACAAAATTCATTAAAGTCATTTGACAAATGTTTTCCTCCTCTATCACTTTTAATAATTTTGATTTTCTTACTAAGTTGATTTTCAACTTCAGCATTGAAAACTTTAAATTTTTCAAAACCCTCATCTTTATGTCTAAACAAATAAACATAAGAAAATCTAGAAAATCATCAATAAAGGTAATAAAATATCTTTTACCACTTCTAGTTAGAGCATTATTTAAATCACATATATCACTATGTATAAGTCTTAACAATTCACTATTTATTTCAACTAAAAGAAATGGTTTTCTAGTAATTTAACTTGTACACATACATCACCTAAAAAGTTTGTCCAAAAAAAACGAGACAAGGAAAGGGAAAGAAAACTTTTTAAACATGTGGTACATACCTCTATCTAATCTCTCCCAAAAAAATTATATTTCTTATAGTTTTTATTTCCTAATTTTTATAGAGGAGAAAAGAGAATCGATTATCTCTCTTATAAAGCTGGTAGATTTGGAGAAAAAGAAAAAAGAAGAAGAAGCTAGATATCATTATCTGAAATATCTTTTCTTTGCCTATCAATAAAATTTATTGCTATATTTTAAAATTCTCCTCCAAAAATCACTACCATGTATCCTTCACTTTCTCTTATCTACTCTTGTATCCTATGTATCTCTTTATCTTTCTTTTGAAGATTCTCAGTCTATCTCTCTCTCAAAATGGATATCTCTTCCCCCTCTCTCTCCCCAAATGACGGGGATATACAAATAAAGTTTTTATCCTACAATCTTTATAGCATTAAAATTCTTTTAACATGCATTCATCCCTTAACTTTGGTTTAATAATACAGTATAGGTATCACCAGGAAAATATTAAGCCACCGCTTTCATTATGTTTTCGACATAACAAGCTCAATGTTAATAGATATCATTTATTTTTCAAAATTTACCTGAGTAGCCGCTATATTTTAAGATTTTATTTTTTCTATTTAAAACTTTAAATATCAACCATCAGGCCAAATAGAGTAGTGCAATCAATACTAGGCCATCTGACTTGTTGCCACCTTTAATTTTATCATAAGGGCTATCTATTTGAAACATTTATCCTAGTATTTTACATAGGAAAAATTATCAAAATACCCGAACTAAGATCAACTATTTAACATTGTAACCATATTGTTTGATTAAATTTTAAAATACCCACAAAAGACCAATGATCATGGGTTCAAATAGTGTCAAAACCATAAACTGCAAAATAATGCATCTCTTGTGGGTATTTTGAAAATCGCCCTTTGTGAGCATGAGTTCACACTATATGATCGAAAAATAATCGTGGATGGACGATGATGGACAGAGTGATACCCACCGTCTGATCATAACATACATCACTCTCTCCATTGCCATTTGTCCTTAGATTGGACGGTAGCTATCCTACTGTAGCTTTTCCATGGTCCATGCAATTAATGAGTTGCGAGTACAAATTAACAATGGATGTGGTTTGCATGAGGTTGCAACTTTAAACCATCGGATTAAGGCCCACCTCCAAATTTTATCATAACATATAAATTTGGTATAAAAAATTATTATGATTATCTAAAAATCTATTTTCATCTTTAATTATAAAATTTTAAACAAAAAAATTAGTTCAGATCAAATAGATCTATAAACATATGAAAATCGTGAAATAGACGGTCTAGATAATGTGTTGCAAGATGCATTCTTTTTAGGACTCGAAATCTTCTTCTTTTTTACATATTCATAAATCGAGATGATCAATTAAGAGGTTTTTCAACATTAAAACAACTTTTACTAATGGATTTTTAAGGTACAACTTTAATTCTACATTTTAAACTTGCATCCGTATATAAACTTTTCCCATTGATATCGGCCCACACATGGGAAAGGTTTGCACAGTATTTAGCATGGCTATAAAATCATTGTGCTCGTAACTGTCATCATAATTCGATTAATGAATGGACGGATGATGATGGATATAGTTCAAACCCACAGATCATGCACGACCATCACTGTCCATCGTTCTATTGGACAGTGCTAAACACTCATGATCATGTATTTTGTACGGTGAGATGGATCATAGTCGAGCTTTGTTCAACTCTGTGACATTTACAGGGCCTACCCACAACTCGCTCTCTCTAGAGCCAAATGTTACGCATATGCTTCATTTTCTCTCTCTCTAGATTTCAGTTTGATCTAAATGTAACATTTTTCACATCTGATCTCCCAGAGTTTCTCTGAAACACCTTTTTTTGCAGTTAATCGAGGTATTTTTGTTTCATTCCTTCTGTGTTTTCTCTCTCTAGGTATGTGGTTTATTCTATGAACTGTGAAGGGGTTTGGAGTATTGGGTATCAAATACAATCGCGATTTATAGAGAGTGAAAGCAGAAACTTCTCTTGTTCCTTCAATTGCTTTGCTTCATAGAGTTTCGTGGTTTTGAAGAGAGAGAAAATACATGAATTTAAACAAATGTTTTTCAATTGGGATCTCCCACTTCTTGTATGCTTAAAGGGATCTGCGTTGCTGAGTTTCATATGTAATTTCTAGAGAGAGAGAGAGACGGTTGGCATGTTCTTCATTATTTTGTAGCATAGAGCTGTTTGGTGGTCGTGTGGACAGAGAAAGTGCAGAATCTTACTGGGTTTTGGAAACTGGGATTGATATTCATGCTGTGATCCTCAGATCTTGGACTCCTCCTTGTAAAAAATGGAGTATATAGCTCCACTGGAGAGACCTAATTTGCTTCGTGGCCTATAATTTGAGTTTGATGGTTGCAATGAGAGTGAAAGTGCTGCTTTCTTCTAGGATTTCATTCATGAAATGGAGGTTCGTTCTTTTATACTCGGATCTTGGAGCTCTTTCGGCCTAAAAATGGAGTATATGTCGAAATTAGAAAGATCCAATTCTCTCATTGGAATTTTGTGGAAAGTTTGTTTGTCTGAGGGAACTTGAGCTGAAAAATTATAGGGTTCTTCTCAACATTCAAGAAAAAGTTTTGGATTTTCGCCTTTTTCCTGCATTGATGTTGAGGGCGACTTGTTGAGAATATTGTGGGCGAAGTTTTAAGCAAGAAGAGATGTTTTGGCGTGAAAGGGATAGGGAAAGAGAGAGAGAACAGAATGGCACTCCTCTTTGTGGCCAGGTCCGAGTCCTCGTTGTCGGCGACTCAGGTACTTTGTCGTTAATTAAATTAAATTGCATTGTCTGTGAACTTTTCATAGCTGAAACTTACACAGGTAGTTGTATTGGATTCAGAAATTGTTTCATGACTACATGTAAAATTTTACAAATTTCTTCAACTTTTCAACGGTAAAGTTATCTTTATTATCTTTTTCTTAAATTTTTTTTTATTGCATTTGTATTTTTTTATTGTTGTTATTATTATTCTTGACATATGGTTCACTTGCATAATCCTTCTGATGTACTATAGTAATCTAGTTATTATGATGATTATACCACTGTTCACTAGGAATTACTCTAGAATAATACTTATTCATAAAAAAATTGAATAGTTTTGGCAAATTATCCATTCTGTCATACCACCTAAAGGGTGCTCCATGTGACATCGAAAAGTCTCATGAGAATGCCGAGTTATTAGTACACTTCATCAGGAGCTAATCTGAAGAGATTTATAAAAAAAAATTGACTCGGTTTAGTGAATGATCCATTGAGCAATACCTAAAGGGAGCTCTTTATAACATCGTGTTGGAAATCCTTTGCTGCAGTCATCACCACACATTGGTGATGTAGTCACTCTTTGAAAGAGAAAGATGAATAAGCATAACTAGTGAGGTTCTGTCATTTATCAATTTAGGGCTTTAAACCCCTTTACAATTTACAAAGATAAACAATAATGACTTAAAATGTCCTCGGGCATGACAATGATGTTCCCTGTATTTTAAACCCAGATTAGGTATGAATGTTCAAGGCCCGGTCCGAGTCAGCTTGGCGAGTCCCAAGTTGGACCGATCAACACTTGGTCAAGACTCTAAGCACAAAATGTTTTTTTTTTTTTTGAAGGACCTGACTAACTTGGACAAGACTTGTTCAATACTGGGGTTGCCTGAGTCAGGGTCATTCAGAACTAGCACTCTATGAGCTCCAAGTGGCTTGGCGAGTCTCAATCAGATTCATCGAGTTTTAAGCATTGGATATCCTCATGAAACTTATTTACAAGGTTACTAAGTCAACAAAAAAAAACAAGTAAAACATGAATGTATATGATAAAACTTCCCCTACTAGCATTTCCCCCAAAACTGATGAGTTGGAATCCTAGAGCATCAGTTTAGTAGCTAGATACTAATGTCGTGTTTGGTACCCCACTTTCATGAATGTTTGGACCGATTGATGCTCAAAGGGGACCTAAGAAAAAAGGTCCCAGATCGCAAAGAAGGCAGTAGTGTTATTTGCATGCAGAGGAGTGGGAGTAGAAAAGTGAAACCCTGATCACGAAGAAGGCGGTAGCCAGACAATCTCATTAGATAAGCTAGCATTTCAATGCATAAACTCTGGGCTGGATCCAGAGACATTGTATTGTTTCTTATTTCTCCCGAAAATCAACAACTAATCTAAGAAAATGCCAAAGCTATAGGTCAATTGTCTGGTACCAAGCAACCAGCCCAATCAGCATTTACATTAGTGATGACTCCATGTTAGAAGCTGAAAGAAAGTGGTGCTCACGATCTAATGTGTTGTGAACATAATGGATGGCCTTTGAACAACAGTCAAATGACAGCAACGAGTATTTGATATGAGCGAACTGACAACATGGGCAATGTCAAGGCGCATCATAGTGAGATATACAATGTTCCCAATAAGTCCTCATTTTTTCAATGAAATAATAAGTTTTTGATGGAGGCAAAATTATTTTTGTTTTTAATTTTTATTCAATTTCAAATGATGTATATTATAATTTTAGTTTTAAGGTTTATTTCTACGGTTTTTTGGTTTTTTACGGATTCTAAGTTTTTTATATTTTTTATTTGCTTCATGAGTACTATTCACAAGCACTGTTTATAGGGGTACAACTGTCATTACGAATTTTAAGTTTAAGTTAGGATATATGAGTAATGTATAATTTATTTGGACACTTTTTGTACTTGGAAGATTAAATAATATTATAAAGAGGTGCGTGGGGACCCTTGGGAGAAGGCAGTCACATGATTTTCCAGAATTGAGAAAAAGACAAGCTCAGGCTTTTGTAACCCTAGCTTGGGTGTGGAGAAGAAACCCTAGATTTATTTGAATTGTGGTTGTCTTTGCCTTGTTCCTTGCTGATTTTACCTATTTCTCAAATTTTCTGCATAAACTTGGTCTCAGAGCTCAGGGTTTCTTTGACAGCAAGGCCAAGGAACTACAAACAAATCTAAAGTTTGCTGATTTTGACCCAAGTTTTGCCAAATCAACGTACATTTTGTGGATTTCAGCAGTTTTGGTGATCACATGCCTATTGTTTATGATCTTAGTGAATCCATCGCAAAGAGAAGGGACTATGGAAGGGGGGTTTTGTAGACCCTCGCTGTGATCTCAAAGATGACAAAATTAAGGAACTTGAAAGGTAAGTTTTGTACTTGATTCAATAGTTTACGAGACTCAATAATGGGCAAGACGGTGATCTTGTAGCCCGAGAGGTAGGCCTTTTCACTTTTGCACTCAGCGTGGGGAATCGAGTGATGAGGATAGGGATAGAAGACCTAGACTTAGGTTTTCGATTTGAAGGGTGAGATTCTTGATGTTGACAGAAATCGTGTTCGAAATCAGCAAGTTTTAGATTGGGGTTTACCACCAATCTTCAATGCATACTCCGATGAACAACAAGACCGTTAGGGGATCCGATGTATGATGAATGTCAAGATGATGATGAAAATATTTTAAAAGAGAGTGAATAATAATGAAATAAGGTAGTAGGGGGACTCATCCAAATCATGGCAATTGAAAATCTCATTGATATCAAAGAGGTAGAGCATTTAAGAGATTTAAGGCATTGGTATCAGAGTAGCGCAATGGAAGTGTGGTTAACTCATAAACTGTAAATTGTGGACCTGATTTCAAAAAAGTGATGAAATAGATGTTGAGAAAACCTCTAAAGACCATAAAATTGAGTATGAAGTTTCCTACATATTTTCAATAGGAGTTCAAGAATAGCTGTATTGATAAATTTGCATTGATTCCTCAATATGCATATCAGGATCCATTTCTTGAGGAGTTCTGTTTTTACCATGAGTAATATTTGAGCCGACAAAGAAAACAAAGGTTGAAGAAGGTGGTTTTGATGCTGATTTAATCTTGGCACACTTTCAAACTCGAGGATGAGTTTTCTTCAACAATGGGAGAATACTGGAGGCAAATTTATTTTTATTTTTAATTTTTATTCAATTTAAAAGGATATATATTAGTAGTTTAAGTTTAAGGTTTATTTCTAGAGTTTTTTGGTTTTTGAGAAATGGTTACCTTTATGAAGTTTTTCATTGAAGGTGATCTGACTGGCACTATTAGGTTACCCTGTGGCTTGTATCTAGTGAATTGATGAGCCTGATATTTAGGATCTGATTTCGTCCTTCTTCAATGTTTGGAAAAACTGTTACGCATTGAGCACAACCACAAAAGTGCATTATTTTTATTCACCTTGTTTTCCGTTCTCCTCCCCCCCTCCCCCCAAATAGGGAAAAACGAAAAGAAAAGAAAAAGAAAAAGAAAACAAGGGTTTGAGCAGTCAATATGAAGGATCTTTTACTGTCCATTGAATATACACTCCGGAGTCACATTTAAAGCAGGGGCCACCTTCTAACAAATGGACGGTTTTGAGGTGTGGTCATTGTTGTAGAAACTGATAGTAGTACATAGAAAATTTCTCCTCAATTTTATGTTTGGCCATTTGCTCAGATTTTATTTTTAAGTTTTTAATGCACTTCAAACCCATCCCATAATTCTGGTCCATACTGTTTTATGCCTCTTAATCATTTTGAATGGCTTCTGGTGTTCTTATTGTCCTGTTTTCACCTGACAATGACACCCATATAAGGAAACAAAAGGAATTGGGGTGATTTATTTCATAACTTGTGTTTGGTGCTGATTTTCGTAAGCATTTGGAACATTTCCTGCTAATATTCATACCGCGTTTTTGCTGCATCATATCCCATACTTTTTTAGTCTGCCTACTGCCTCAATACAAAATCTGGAGAGAAAATTGATGCTCTTTCTGAATGAGTAAACTAAACAACTAGTAGCATGTAGGATCCATGCAATTTTCCAGCTAGGAGCCTGGGTTTATGATCCGAAATTCTGAACTTTTTGGTTTAGGCTGTATATTTATTGTGTACCTGATATACAAACTGAATAAACAATGTCATAGTATTCTTATGATAGTAATTTTAAGATAGATTCCTTTACCACTTACATGAAATTTATTTTTTATAGAGTATTCAGTTCATGTAATATTTCATATGACTGTTCTTAACCAAGGAATTCTTCTATTACATAGTTTTCCATTAAGAAAGTTTCCATGTATTTGAGCCTACGTTGCCCACATAGAAACTTGGGTACTTCTATTTTTTCCCATATTGTATGAGCCTATAAATTCCATCATTCCTTTTTTCTGGTTGCATGAGACAATTTGGTTTTTTATGGTTTACTATTAATCATACTAGATTTATTTTAAAAAAATAATAATCTCACAAGAACTTTCCAAATCTCTGCAGGTGTGGGGAAAACATCTCTTGTTCATCTAATTGTTAATGGTTCTTCTATTGCTCATCCGCAGCAAACAGTTGGGTGTACGGTGGGTGTGAAGGTAATGGTTATTGCCTGGTGGTTATGATGTTATGGAAGTCTGTCTAAACTCTAAACTGGTGTGTGTATGTGTGCATGCATCTATTAAGACCCATGCAATGCACACACACAGAGGCACAAAGAGTTGGTGGTGATGTTTTCTAATTGAGCAATTGCTGAGTTGGTGTTGTTTTCTTATCTAGCATGTTGCATATGGTAGCTTCAGTAGCTCTTCCAATAGCATCAATGGTGATGGTGAGAGAGACTTCTTTGTGGAGCTTTGGGATGTCTCTGGACACGATCGGTACAAGGACTGTCGATCTCTTTTCTATTCACAAATCAATGGTCAGATTTACTTACTATATACTTACACTCTCTCTCTCGCTCTTCCATTCTCTCTCTCTTTCTCTTAACTTCTGCCAGAATCTGCACAATGCAAAAGTTGGATTAGCACTAGACATTTAGTAAGTAATGTTAGGTAATGCTTGTGGGGAAAATAAAATAAATAAATTAAAGAGTAAGAAACAGAATAAAAAAAGAATAGTATGATGAAGCAGCAAATAAAGGTGTGATAATATCTGAGCAAAATACAAAAAAATGAAAGGATGGTTAAATGAAAAAGATATTTAGAAACGTAAAAGAAAATGAAGAACTAAAGCGAAAATAAAAGAAATGAAGAAAAAAAAAAAATAGAAAGACGGTAATATGGTCTAGAAAATAAATAAACAAAAATAATGCTACAAAAGTTAAATTTGGATGAAGAACTGCGCCATCCCCCCAAAAAACTGAAAAAGGAGGGAATCAATAGAAAGAGAGAAATCCATTCACACACATGAGATTCACCATACTACTATTACGACCTGTTGGAACAAGTTAAAAGATAATGGCAACTATGATTTATGCATCACCTTCTTTTGTTGTCTATTTGTTTCTTTATGTAAAATCTCTGCGAGAGAATTGGGTCCTGTTGATATTATCTCATGAGATATCAGTTTTATGACCACCATATTAACACATAGTTCTATGCATACAGGTGTTATTTTTGTCCATGATCTATCCCAAAGGAGGACCAAATTAAGTTTGAGCAAGTGGGCTTCAGAGGTTGCAGCCACAGGCACATTCTCTGCCCCTTTGGGTTCAGGTGGCCCTGGAGGGCTGCCAGTCCCTTACCTTGTTATAGGCAACAAAGCAGATGTAGCAGCAAAGGAGGGTACACAGGGAAGCAGTGGAAATTTGGTGGATGCCGCTCGTCAATGGGTTGAGAAGCAAGGCCTGCTCCCGCCAAGTGAAGAGCTTCCTTTGACTGAGAGCTTTCCAGGCAGTGGTGGTCTACTTGCTGTAAGAATTGGCTGTTTCTTTTATTTATATTAAAAATGGGTGCCTCTTCTTTTTTGGTGGTTCGGCAGTAGTATTTGAACTTGGATTTTGGTGTTGCAATTGTCAACTCCTTAACCAATGATTAAAAAATTTGTGGAGTCCGCTTGGACGTGCCCAAGTTACTCAGGCTTGGCACCCTACCGAGCCTGGAAGCCTCCCAAACTTGGGGGTAACTCTATTTGTATGATTTTGAGCCAAAAATCACCCGTTTAAGCCCAAATTTGGCACATAGCTTTTGTTTTTTCATGATCTATACACTAGATAGATCAAACTTGAGGAAAAATAAATAAATTTGATAGATTTGAGAGATTGAAGATTTCAACCTAGGTTTTGGTTGATTGTGAAAAATTGTGAGTTCTTCACAATGGGAGGTCACCATTCCATGAAATTTGATCCCTAAGCCTATTTTTGGTTCTTCATCCAATCATAGGCTTATTTTACTTAGAAAAAAACACAACTTTTGGATTTTTGAGATTTTAATTTTCGGATTCACTATTCATCCAAAGTATTAGGAGCGCATATCTCCTAGATTCAAACCTGAAACTCAAAACTGGTTTGGAGGTTTCGCTTGGGGTCGTCTAAGGAAACTTTGACAAGGATTTGAGGCATCGATTCGCATCGAGCATCAAGATCTCTGAACTAGGAGTAATTTCAGCGAGTACAACCAATGTCATCAAATAACTACCATTTTCCATTCTTTAAATCCTTTTTTTGCTGTTTATCTCTATCTTAATTTTTACTTGTGTTTTATATTTTTACTGATTTTCTGGGATTTCCCCCCTTTGTTCAGCTTTTTTAAGGTCCTTTTCACGCTCAGCATGGACATGGGCGAGGCAACTCAGACTCACCTGGGTAACACGGCTAGGCCAGGGGCCTTGTTTCGCCGCCAAGCCAAGTAGTAAAACAATTGTCCATCACTAATCAAGCCCAAGCCCAAATCCCAGATGGGTGCCATCTTTTATTGAGTTGTTGTTTGTTTGTGTATAATCATTTCTCTTATCCGTCTCATTTATCGTTGTGTTTAAATGATAGTCTATAAGTCACATTGTTTACTTGAGAGACTATTAAAATGCCTCATTTGCAAAGTATTAGTGGTGAGTGATTAGTTGTAAAAACATGCAGAAAACAATTACTGGTTTTTGTGAGAATCACAAACCTGTTATACATTCTCGGCAGATGAGGTGCAATACCCTCTCGTTTTATGGGAGCATCGATGTTAGCTTGTGTTGCTTGGACATAGGTTCAACACGTTTGATTCCCCACTCTTCAAAAATAGTACTCAGTTATTGGAGTGTATGTGCACACACGTGTGTGCATATGGGTGAGTAGAGTTTCTCATGACTTATTTGATTGTACATATACAGGCTGCAAAAGAAGCTAGATTTGACAAAGAAGCCCTGACAAAGTTCTTTCGTTTGGTATGTTTCCTTGTTCTTTGATTTGCTATGAGACCGTTTATCTTCATTACAAGGTCACAATTACTACTGGCCATTAGATGTCAAATTGAATGGCTTGAGGTGTGACACAAAGTTGGACAAGAGCAATTGTGACCACCTTGTATTAAAAGTAAATTGCCTCATTATATAGTTGAGAGAGAGAGAGAGAGAGAGAGAGAGAGAGAGAGAGAGAGAAGAGAGAGAGAGAGGAGGAGTCGTAGTTGTTAGTTAGTAGTATATATATAATAAGTAATAGTAATTAGTTTATTTTAGTAATTAACGTTACTTACTACTTAGTT